ATGGTTTATCCAACTAGATCCACAGAAAACATGCACAGATAAATCAGTTTTAAACTCTGAACCACAGGGACCTGGATACACGGTACAAGTTTGAAAACAATCTTAGCGTGAGTTTAATCAGCTGCCGGACCTCAGCTGCCCCTTAAAGTCCGACCCAATCCGCACTGCTTCATTGCGGTAAAGGGTTTAAAAGGTATATGACTAACGTGATAACTTTATATATATATATATATATATATATATATATATATATATACATAATTGTGCACGCCTAATATCATTCCCAAGTAAAACATGTCGCCGAAGATGCACGGAAAGTTTTCGCAAGGGGCGAATCGTACTACGAACGAGACGGCAGGTGGAGTGAGTCTTACTACGAGCGAGACAGGAGGTGGGGTGAGTCTTACTACGAACGAGACAGCAGGTGGGGTGTCTTACTACGAGCGAGACAGCTAGCGGAGCGAGTCTCACTACGAGCGAGGCAGCTAGCGGAGCGAGTCTCACCACACGCGAGACAGCTGGCGGAGCGAGTTTCACTACGAGCAAGACAACTGGAGGAGCGAGTCCTACTACGAGCGAGACAGCTAGCGGAGCGAGTCTCGCTACGGGCGAGACAGCAGGCGGAGCGAGTCTCACTACGAGCGAGGCAGCTAGCGGAGCGAGTCTCACTATGGGCAAGACAGCTAGCGGAGCGAGTCTCACTACGGGCGAGACAGCTAGCGGAGCGAGTTTCACCACAAGCAAGACAACTGGAGGAGCGAGTCCTACTACGAGCGAGACAGCTAGCGGAGCGAGTCTCGCTACGGGCGAGACAGCAGGCGGAGCGAGTCTTATGAGTGAGATAGCAGATGGAGCGGGTCTGATCACGAATGAGATAGCAGGCGGAGTGGGAAAGGAGGGAAAGGAAAGCCTGTCATGAAAAAATCGATCTGAGTATTGCATTGTTCTGAGATTGCATCGCTCTGTCTCGCCGACAGTCTGAGTATCCTGGCCCTGTCTCGCTGATATCCTTTATAAACGCTAATATTTGTCAGCTGAAGCACAAATTTTCAAAAATCACACTGGCGTATAGCCCGTTTTATTCGCTTATGGAATTCACACGGTCAATTGTCATTCGAAAAGTTGCGTTTTTCACGGCACTTCGATCACCATTGCCAACATCGTAAATCATAGAGTTCACCTATCTCTTTGACTAAAATTGGCATACCTGATCACATTTACAGCCGATCGTCTTGCAGGCGACGCTTTTCGAGCATTTGTGCGGGGAGGTTTCTCGTGAGCGGTAGAATGTCCAATGCATCGGTCAAGCCTTTAAGTGTCGGCTCCCCAATTTGTCCGGCTTTAACAGCTTAAATTCATATAATCGACGCGATAACAGCGGATAGTTCTCACCTTTGCTTTCACCTCGCTCCTTCCACGCTGCACGCGCGTCCCACTGGTTTGAGTCACAAAAAACGTCAACTCGAGCACCTCGGCCAAGCCCGGTTGCCACGCTTTACGGCAGGTAATATCTCTGCCGCCACATATCGCGGTTCTATGCAGTTATGAGGAGAAGGGGGCGCGATTCGTGATCAATTTTACGGAAAAGCCTTTTTAAATATGTAAATCGGCTGCTAAATTTGACGTTCTTTTCTGCACAGATAAGATATGGGCATACTATTCTAGTCGAATTACGCAGTCGTTTAACATTGAAAATCAAAATGTCATATTCTAACCAGGCTGCACCCCACGTTTTGAAACCGGCCCAGATCTCCTCAACCAGGTGTTCCAACGACACAAAACCACTACATGTTATCAGAGGAGAGAACGGACAATCGTAATGATTTGACTCTGGGCCAACGGGTGCCGTTAACCACTCACAGTCACTAGCACAGCCACTGATCCGCCCGCGTTGGGGCCATGCGAAGCGCTCTTGTCAGGTGTCGCCAGAGACCTGACATCATCCCCGGGGTAATCATGAATTCACCGTCAGCAGCTCACAGGGCGATCTCAGCGCTCCTCCCAGAGCGTATGTGTGTCGGCAATCCACTACAAGCTGCTCGGTGCTCCCTAATCCAAAACCGGTCTCAGATACGTGCTGTAATCTAGCCCCGAGAGACATTCGGCCATGAAAATGACGCGGACGCGCAGACCTGCTCGTTGGGAACTCATGGCTGGCGAATTTTGCTAACTCTGCCCACAATGCCCCCAGAAAAGACCCGCCTCCTTGCGCGTTAATTAAACCAACCTATTTGCAAGCATCCCAAGCTAGCTGGTTCAACTAGCTCATGCTCTGGCATCATCACGTTGATAACTTAATACATCACCTACATCTTTGCTGTCAAGCCTGTAATAACCTTGCCCTTCTCACGCCACGCAAGACATCTCGTTGCATGCTGGTAACAATTTTGGTTTACCGATAGTGACTCGTGTTTTACTGAGATGGACCACTGACCATTTAGCGCTGAAGGCGATTGGCGTAACAATCCTGTGCATAGCTCGTTTCAAAAGCGCCTGGAATATACGCCGAGGCAGCAAAATTTTCATTTTAATTTTGCTTGACCCGCGCTGGCAGGCCAGCCATAAGTCATGACTTTAAACAAAGCAAGAGCAGAGTAAAAAAGCAAAAGTAGAGTACAAGTTTTATGACCGCGCGGCTCTTTTTTCATGGCACACGGGTGTGGAATCGGCGGGGCCTGTTGATCGACACGATGACATGATCGACACGATGACATGATCGACACGACGACGTGCTCGACACGATGACATGCTCGACACGATGACATGATCGACACGATGAATCGACACGAACTGTCGCCGTGGTGGTGAGGCCGACCCAGCCCGCTGAACGACGCATGCTCCTGCAACCGCTTTAAGGGAATGTTCCACATCTGCAGATATTGAAGCTAGCATCAGTTATGATGAAATAAGGTCGATTAAAACTCTTGGTATAATTTAAAGTGGAAAAGACTGGCCAAGACAACATAGTCCCTCTGTTTAATTAGTCTTTTCTTTTCCTCAACACGCCGCTGTTTGATTTCGTCATCGCATCCTGCACGATGCTTGAGAGCCAACTGACCGCGGTTATATTCATCGACGGTGCGTATATTATATCACTATATCACTATATTATATCACTATATCACTATATTATATCACTATATCTGAAAATCGTGCTACGAACGCCAGATGTGAACGACTCGACATTTATATTTTCTCGGCCTTAGTCGCCGCATGGCAATATTTGGATGTGTATTTGATATAATTCATTTATTTGATTTGATATTACATTGATAGAGTGGCAATATCTGGATGGCGTTATTATTGCGCTGTGAATGCCTGGGTCACCATGAAATAGCTTCCCCGAGATCCTCTGCACATCTCCGCGGACGCGTAGCTCAGAAACTAGAGGTGTTAGGCCTTAATAAAGGCATGACTGTGAACTGCACCCAATAATTTTCGCGATAGTTACTTCAGTTCAAAATCCCATACAAATGTGGAACACTCCACTTAACTAACGGATGCCAATCACACAAATACCCATTTTGCGTAACGAGCTGACAAAAGCGTTAGAGGGATAGGACCCGCCGACAAAACTGCTATTACTTGAATATTGAAAACGTTGCAACGTTCTCCTGATTCATACGATGTCTTCTGTCTTTTGCCAGAAGTTTGCTCTATACACTAGAAAAGTTCTACAAATTTGGGGCACAGATGGAAGCGAGTACCACCTGGCAGCACTTCCACTATAATGGCGTGTTGATTGATAAGGTTAAGGCCAAAGGCAGCGCAAAGAAGTAAAAATTCCCGGCATTTGGGGATTTGCAGCGATACAATCAGCAAGAGCCACCACTTCAGAGAGGTTGGGCCTGCCAAGTCTATTTTGAGCCTAATATTTAAAGAAATGCCTCGAACCATTCTATTCCGTGGCCTACGTTGGGTACCATAAGAGATCAGAACGTGGTAATGTTTTCTTAATTTCTGTTTAATACTGTACAATTCTGCTAACTGGTCATTACGTTGCGTTACAGTTCAAGGCAAACACAAAAGGGACAAGATTCCAACGTTTGAGAGTAGTTCAAAATTCATAATTTCATTGCTTCGCACGCACCCACAAATACACATGGCACACACACACACACACACACACACACACACACACACACACACACACATATATATGTGTATATATATATATATATATATATATATATATATATATATATATATATATACTACATCCCTGCGCGCGCAGAAGCGCACGCAGGGATCACAGGTCGGGGGGACGCAGTCATCAATTGTAACAGGAGATTCCACTGACACCATTGCGTCATATATATATATATATATATATATATATATATATATATATATATATATATATATATATATATATATAATACATATATACATGATTATATTTTTGCCGTTATCCACACTTCCATGAAAAAATTCAATTACTAGCCCGTCTGTTCCACCTCACTACATTCAAACACTGGACCACACATTTACAGCGGCTGAGTGGTAGCGGATGCTTGAAAGTATCGATTAGTGAGTAAGATGAACAACAAATGCGCGAGAAAAATGCTCATTTCATGCATCTTTCAAAACGATTATCCACTTGTACTTGCTTCGCACGACATGTTAAATGCAGCCAGTTACCATGGCACTCAGTGAACAACAATCGTCTTGCGTTTTTAGTCCATATGAAAGGAAGGCACGGACGCTTACGACCACCCATCTCCGATTACATCAGCCACACGCAGAAGCGCACGCAGAGATCACAGGTCGGGGGGACGCGGTCATCAATTGTAACAGGAGATTCCACTGATGTGATAGCGATTTGTGTGACAGACGAGCAAACCGCAGGCAGGTACACGCATCCGTGAGACGCACCTCCCCCGCGAGGCAAAACCGGGTCACGTGTCGCAGGCTAAAAATAGTGCTGGACAGGAGGAAAACCACCGGGAGGGCGGCAGACACGGCCGCCGTCACCAATGGGCCACGTCTGTCCCACTCACCAGCAGTGAAGCCATGTTTCTTTTGCATCGCTTCGCCCTCCGGCTCTGTCTCATGAAGTGTGGGGCGCTTCGAGCGACGAAGACTGTCTGCGCTGCTTCCGCCGCCCCCGCTCGCCACTCTGCCGGCCGCGCGCCGGGTCACGCGCTCTGTGCCCCCAGGGCGCAGGCGCCGGCGGGCATTCAGTGCAGGACGTGCCTGGCGGCCGGGCGGCCCGCCAGCGGCCCCGCCCCCCGGCCACGGCGGGTGGATCGGGTATCCGGCCGGTTCCATTGCTGGGCGCGGCGCGGGTGGTGCCCTCTAGGGCAGAGGGCGCAGAGACGGCAGGGGGCTGACCGGAGCTGGGGCGCGGCCTCGAGAGCAGGCCAAGTCCGGTGGAGGGGGAAGTCGGGTGGGGGATGCTCTGGCTTTGATAGAAGGTTTTGAGCATCCTATGGCTGCTGGATCGTCGGCGGGGATCCCTCGCAACTCTGAAGAAACCAGTCATCTGGTTTGGCTGTGCGCTGCTGTCCCCGGTTGATTCATCGTTAAGTTGAAGCGTTAACAACGTCTCGGTATGAGCATGATGAGATGTCAGCCCCAGCTTGACATAAAGGTCTCCCATACTTCTAATCATTGCGATCGGAACACGAACAGCAGGCAGCGGCCGCCACTTCAGGCAAGCGGCATGGCAGGTTACACATCAGTAGTTACCTTCTGGCTCAGGCATGCTGGATGCAATCTTTCCTCTCAATAGCGGCTGTTACTTTCCACCGCAGTAATTTCAGTTTGCATTGGCTCATGAGACGCTGCCTCATGATATTAGCATCCCACAATGCTAGAACGCTGACACCCGTAGGGTCGCGATGGACTACCACTGTATCACCTTTGGTCTCTGGCGAAGTACTGACTTTCAAACCCTGAATGATGCACTACACTATCGACATTTAGTGTTATAATTAGCTGCTTAAATGATGCAATTGAACCAGGCCGCTCAGATGGAATACGACAGCCTTTAACTGCCAGAAACAAGCTGATCAAAAGGTACGCCGTATATAGCATCTCCGCTCAGCTGAAATGGATGCGGCACGGTCCATCAATTCGCTCCACGCTCGGCTATGTGAGCGAAACTAGCGCCGTCTGCCGACTCTAAAACGGACGGGCGTGAACCTGGGTGCGTGGGTGGACGCGTTGGTGGGTTTGTGGGTGTGTCCCGTATAGTGAATCTACTGTTGCACTGAATCCTCGCGGCGGCGAGCATTCCGAGGCCAAGGCGCGGTCGCAGCGCGAGCTTGCCCTGTCCGCCGCCAGGATATTGATCCGAACTGGATATGACGTCACTGGACGTCATGACGTCACTGGTTATGGCCGCAGCTGCGTTGGGACGATAGCATGGCGGGGCAACAACACTCGCGGCCGACCGTGAGCCATTAGCGTGGCTGCGCTTCCTCTACGCGTTCGCGTCAATGCGACAGCGATGCACACCATGGGAGCCGCGGTGAAAATGCGCAGCCTTTGAGCTATGCTTGAGGATTAATTGCATCATTGGAACGGCGTACCTTCTTCACGCTATCTGCACTGATAAATAAAGCGTCACTGAGGGCGACATCTCCAACGTAATTTATAAGCTGATGTAATCGGCTTAACACAAGCAAGGCTAGAAGCGAATCACTCACTCTTGGCCACGTGGTGAATGCTATGAAGCATGCAATCGCGACGTACCGACCGACCGAAACAGGCAGGCCCGCCGTGCCCAGTAAGCGTCTGGATATCAAGACTGTTTATCGCAGATCTGCGCACAACAGGACGAATGTTTTCTGCAATTACCATGCGACTGAACGCGATTTGCATGAGAACAGCCAAAAGTTCGCAAATAAACCGACCTCACGTACCACCGGCAACAACAGTTTGCGGGCGTGAAATTATGACACCACTGCGCAGTAGTCGCATAACACTATCACTGTTGATGCTCTGTGCTGTTTGCAAACGGTGCGCACAACTCAGGCCGATCTTCTCAAAACAGCTTACTTTGAATAAGTGCAAATGCCGACTCACAGCCTCAGAGCGGCACGTGGGGAGCGCCGACGTCCAAGGTGCGTAACTGGACTGAACACTCTTCAATGAAGCCCGAGTGCCAGTGCATGTATAGTGAGCCATCGCTCTGACATCTCTGAGTCAGGCATATGGCTGGTGAAAGCTTCTAACTCAAACATTTCATCATGGCCTTTCATCAGCTCGCCCCACGTGTCAGCTGGCCCCGCCCGACACACGCGTGTCTACAAACACGCGAGGCATGGCTTCCATAAATAAAACCCTCCCCCCGCCTTTTGATTGGCAAGACCGCGTTGGTTGCTCCTGACTTTGCGGCAGACGTAACTGGCGTCGAGGGATTTCGTCATCATTCAGCACACAGACCTGCGCCCGTGTGTAACCCGCGATCCTCGCCAGCATACTCTGGATTTGACCACCTCCTGTCTGGATGTGACACACCCCCTGTCAACGGGAGTGTCACGAAACGCCTACGGATGCTTGTTTACACGGCCTGGTGCTTCAACATCCGCGACGCATGTCGCCCTCTACTTGAAAGTGTCATCTCGGTTGACGTTATGGTTACGCCCGGCTCGACTCACCATAAACCCGATACCCTGGGTGTCTGTTGTTGTTTTCACAGTACATAAACCTAGCTGGGCGACCCGCTCTTATGAAACCACTTCCAGTGCCTGCAGCGTTGATGTGTTTGAAAGGAAATGTTGGCCTGACCTACATAGATTACGTGGAATCCGTGTCCACAAAACAGGGAAGGACGTGACATTGCTGTTGGAGCCCATTACAATTAATCTGCTGTTCTCGGTCCGTATATTTTGATAGATGCGTCATGTGGTTCCATATATTTTGATTGATGCGGTAATGTGTATTAGTATCCTTGTTAGTTAAGGTGGTGTGAACTGAGACTGAACTTTCTAAGCCGCCAACCCGCCTCATCTGACTCGGCAAGAAACCGCGGACTTTGGCCGGGATGTCAGCGGGACCTTGCGGGATTTTACGGGAGAAAATTTAAGCAGCAAAAAATGCAGTTTTGATAACGCTTCAAGGCTTAAACCTTCCGAAATTTCAGACACCATTGCCACACAAGACAATTAGAAATACATTTCGATTTGCATATGTAAGCCAGGGTCCCAGCAACAGAAAACCCAAAGGCTTCACTCGCCCGTTATTTTAGGGCAGGCATTGCCAACCGACAGGGGGCCCTGTGGGGGAAATGAAAGAATCTCAGGAATGGCATTGTGATGTAGCAAAACATGTCCGAGTCAAGAACGACAACCGCATGGCAGTGCCGACAGGTAGTGCTGACTGGAAGCGTCTTAGCGTCCTTGCGCACAACAAAAACTCCGAGCTACGTCTCGACGGGCTCCCTGGGGCTCGCTCTTCATTGGCAAATGGAAGCGCATTCCCTATTTAGGGATTATAAAATAACACTCCTTACCTGTAACGTCGAAGCCCAAGCCCATTCCCTACTAGGCCGAGATGTTCAGTAAGTGCGTTTGATTACATTTCACAAGTAAGTCGTCGCTGTTGATACAACACATAGCAGCAGTCGCTGCGCTGCTGACAGTCTTTTATGTCCTATAAAAGGGAGGGTCTCGCTCCCATTTGGATTGTGTGATCGATGATGTCTTAAGCCACATATTTCGTCGTACAGTATTCGAATAATTTTCAAGTGCGCCATTCTTGCGCGCTCTATGTATCAATGGGGCTGATTCAGCTGATTCTACTTGTGCCCATATTTAGAAACAAAGGCGTTCATTATTGACGTGTGCTGTGACGCCACCTCAATGGGCGGAGCTTGAGTGCTAAGTCGAC